GTGATGATCAAAATTGGTCTTGGTCTTGCGGTTTCGCAAGATTTGCTGCAAGACTAAGACCAAGACGGTTCTGGTCTAGCAAGACCATGACTAAGATTAGGCTTGCAAGAACAAGATCAAACCCATACTGAAGCTTCAAGACCAAGTTTAAAACAACACCACCACTGCAAGACTCATGCAGTCTTGTAAATACTTTTTTTCCCCCGAAAACACATTAGTTATCTAGATTTCATTAACTAATAATTTATAACGAAAATAATGAGAAATTGTTTTTATTGTTATTAAATTTGATCAGTATTCGAGGAAATGACGAATTATTGAAAAAATGATTAGAAATAATTGGAATTAATATTACAAAATAACATATTATAGTTGTTTCATACTTAGCAATTATTGAAGAATTATTTTTTTCCCCCAAAATCGATGAAAACGTCGAAAGTTGTCTTGCTCATAGGATAATTTATGACTTATATCCATAATACACCTCTACTTTGAATCGTATATACTATTAATTGCTGGAAGTCATTACGAACTACAGTAGATATCATTTTGATTGGAAGTACGTTTTTATTTTCGTTCGTAGCTTGTGTAATTTTTCCGTACTAGACATTGTGTACTTAAACTAGTGTCTTTTTTTTTTTTTAATTAAGAACTTCCAGTATAAACTATTATAGTTCGACAATTAAAATATTGATAGACAGCGTGATACAACAGTTGAATTGGTAATTAAACATAATGAGCATAATGATTTAATAATAAATATGAATATAATGTCAGATAAAAAGTAAACAGAACACAATATTAGTGTATAGGTTACCGGAAAAGATGACAATCAGTCCGTGTTAACAATGACTAGTCAATAACGATAATGCCTGATTTAGTATGGAATTAATGTCAATACCTTGTCATTGATAACAATTCCTAATAAAAGAAGGCATTGATAATAACATTAAAAATTAATTTAATATATTTTAATACTTATTAGCTATTTAGGATAAATCATAATCTTAATCTTTATTGTTACGTGGTAAATTACCATGACACTTGGAATTATATAATCTAGTACAGCGGTACCCAAACTGTGCTCCGCGAAGCCTTTGGTGCTCCGCAATGGTTTGCCTAGGGCTCCGTTCGTAACACCACAAAAAATTTAAAAAAATGTTGGTCATTTAAAATTAATATATATTTCATCAAGACTAGAATGTTCCATAATCAGATCGATCACCGATAAAGCGGTGTTGATATTTGTTTGAATGCAAATTTATAATATTGCCTAATATAATACGGAAATATTGATAAAACTACGAAATATCTAACATTGTCTAACCTTTCCAGTTATTGTCAACAATGACTAGGATATATTAACAATTCCTGAATTTTCATCTTTTCCGGTAACTTATATAATAACAAAGTAATATTAAAAGTAAATGCCCTAATTAATTGATTATTAATATAGCGGAAAGAAAAGAATTTATTATAGATGTTAAATCAGATAGGAATTTTAAAAGAGCTTAATTTAAATTTGAGTTTTGCAAATTAATCTTCGGTATTGATTGAGAGGGATCAATGAGAAGGGACTCAGAGAATAAGTTTTTTATGTGTGTGATATTTTTTTGGAGTTGGAAAATTTTATTTTGTGGCGATTTAGAATAGTTTGGTAGAACTGGCACCCCTTGAAGCTGGCCGTATGAATTTCAGAACAGTGGACACATTTAGCTGGGCTAGAGTGATCCTTGGTGCAGCTATCTGAATGTTGTTTTTTAAATATAAGTAATAAAAATGATACGTTTTACACAAAACATCAACAAAAAAATTAAGGAAATAATTAATATGACAATAATAAATATACTCAATGATTTGATAAAAAACATAGATAAAAAAAATGAACTATAGAATAGTTTTAAAATTTAAATTTAAACGAAATTTAAATAAACATGTACTTCTGATACAGGAATTCTTAAGTAACTACACGTGTACTAGGATTTTAATTACACCGGTAATTTAAGGACTGGTGCATGGAATCTGTGCGTATGTGTTTGTTATTACCCGGTAAAAATTTAGTATGAACCCATTACAATTAATATGTATAGTATTATCTCAAGTGTTTGTATTGCAATTATTTTCCGATTGTTCACATGTTGTCAAGGAGTAAGTTATAACTTCGTATCCAAACACGCTGTGCTGTACGCGTCAATCAGTGCCATGTTTACCGGGATTGCAGTATGTGCGTGTGTGTTTGGGAGGGGGTGAAAGGAACCCTTGTTCAATCATAACAATGATTTTATTCATCTAAATTATAACTATTAAAAATCACAATTATGATGTTTAGACGTTAAAGTACCAATTTTGAATTTATATTTGAAAGTGTGGTTTTTTTTTGAAAGTGTGAATGTGTTACTATGTGTTAAATAGTAAGTAGTACCTACAGTAGGTTAGTAACTGTTGTTCTTGTCGACCATATTATATTTTAAATTTTATTATGTTGTGACGGTTGATGTTTGATGTATTAAAAGTGAACAGAGAAAGAAAAAAGCGGTGAAGGCTATAGTCCACTTTTCCTTCTCCCAAACAGTGTATAATATTATTATTGTAATATTATAATAATATTATTGACTATAATATAGAATTTTTTAATATTGAACATTTGCTGTTGGATAGTTTCACAATTTAATGGGCGAAATTATATTTTTTAGCGATGGTCCCATAATATTTGCCACTAATGTACAAATCAAGATGTGGTACTGGTATCATAGTACGTGTACATTTTGTAGGCATATACTTATTACCTATACACCAGTTAAGAGCATCGGACAAGTGTCGTATTTAATAAATAATATATTATGGCTATAATGTATACGCTATAGTGGCAATGTCGTATCGATAGGGTGGCATGACGGGCCCATGACTTTAAAGGGCCGATCAAGGAATGTTGAGAGTCTAAAAAAATAGATCTCCATTATGACTAAATTTAAAAATACAACTAAAATTTCAAGGTCCTAAAACTTTTTATTAGGTTCGTTTTGGCGAGAATTCCTGATATTTGATTTGTACTTCATGATGATTGTTAACTAAAGGAGTCAGTAAAAAAACCAGATTAGTTCAAATTTGAAAACTTACAATAAGTATCGAATTTTTATAACAAACGTATAAAAATTATATTTAATATATAATGCAATACAAATTATCTTATCTCAATGCGTTTACAATTTTGTCGCATTATAGATAAAACTAATCATGGATGTCTTATAAATAGCGCTTAAAATCTTATACTATACAGTACGTGTATAACAATAATAAAATTAAAGAATATAGGCCTAAAAAAAATGTAAAGCACGCCGAAATAGGTTCACGCGAAAATGGTTTACGCCGAGATGTTCGGTTTCCTCCGCGATATGAGTACATTGTACTTCGCAAATCGATATCCATTATTTTAATTTTGGGTGAGTCTAATATAGCTGAGCAATTTAACATCATTATTTACTTCGTTGATTATGATGTTTGATACGAGCCTAATGTAGGAGTCGTTGTGATAAAAGTAGTAGGTCAATATTTACATTATGAGTCTATATTAAAACCAATCATAATGAAAAAAATACTCAGTGTTTTATAACGAAGAGCAAAAAAAAAGCCAAGTTTCAGCTTGAGAGGACGAAAGAATGCTACAATACGAGTAGGTGCTAAATTCTTTAGCTACCATATCCTTCTGATTCATTGCAGTTTTATTATAAGCATTAAGTCAAGTATCAGTAATAATACCTTGCATGGGTTATGTTAATATTCGTAGTATAATTTATGTAAAAGCCGGCTGTTATGCAAAATGTCGTGGCTACTATTATATTTATACATATTTAGTTATATCGCTGACAACGAACAAACAAATTCTGTTATAAAGTGTTTTATGCTAAAGGTATTCACTAAAAGTAGTCAACATTTTGTTGAGTAAAAATCAACTTTCTCCCCGTTTTACAATAAAAATCTTACGGTTTTAAATTTGCGTTCCAGATTTCCGTTTGCACAACGCTGTTATTGAAATGGATAAATCACGTATAACAATATTATCTTGCATGTACATGATATACTTAATAATATACAATATTTTAGTTTTTATTAAAACGATTTAAGTTCTTCATAGGTGGATATTGGAAAGTCAATTCACCCTCCCCTTTCAACTAAAACCCACTTCGTCGAACAATCGAAGTTTTTTTTTGGAGTTTTATACGATTTTATTAATTTCAAGTCCCTTCAACCCCTGAAGCCCTAAATCAGGGGGCGGCAACCCGTGACCCGCGGGCCGCATGTGGCCCGCGAAGCAATTTTTTATGGCCCGCACAAAGGTGGTTAATTTTTGTGTTTTATTTTTGTTCAATAAAATCTTTCATACAATTTTCAATACTATTCAATTCTTTTTTCTTTATAAACAAAATATAATCTAATCGTTAATAGTTGATGTTTATTCTATATAGTTATACAGTCAGTTTAATCTATAGAATTGTTATTATTATCTAATCGGAGTCGAAGATAATGATAGCTACACTACTCAGTCATAGGATAAATTAAATATACTTATATATATTTAAAAATTAAAATTTTAAATATATTTACTCTATGCATTTAATACGTATGTATCTAATATATTTAATCTATGGGCATAGTTACTTTGCGTTTGTAGCAATTAGTATTACACCGTGTGACTTTTTGTATTTGTAATAGTTTCATTTTACAAGTAAATCCAAACATTATGGCGACTAAAAAAGAACAATTTGTGATGAACATCATTTTTTTTAATAATTTTTTGGTTGATTTATACTTTTTCGTCGAAATCAAAGGTAAGCCATGATGTTTAATTTATCAAAAAATTATTTTTTTTCTTAAAAGCAATTTTTTTCAGTAACATTCGTATATTTTTACACTCATATTTCTATATAAAATAATCAAATATAATAGCAATACAATTATTAGTATATATCATATGTAAAAAATTTATTTTAATGTGGCCCTTGATAAACATTTGAAAAAAAATATGGCCCGCGTGATTCAAAAGGTTGCCGACCCCTGCCCTAAATAGATGTGACAAATATCCGCTCATGAAATATATACAGAGTGTTGTACGACTTGCAAAAATGTATTATTTAAAATTAATCACTTTCAGGATACTCTATATACACATGAAATGTTGAAATTCAATTATTTGTACACCTTACATATAATTGTAAATAATTGTTTCAATACGTTTATTTTAGTAAAATTCAGAAATATTGCAACCAAATTGAATACGTGATCCGCATAAATACGAGTATATAACTCATTTACATTTGGACGAAAGTGGTAAAAAAATTGATTTTTTTAACGGGACCACCGTTCGGTCTTTGTGTTTTTTATAAACATCATTATGATCACTCGAAGAACATTTGTCACTCCAATCGGCATTATTGTATTGGCTCAACGAATGCAAATATTACTATTAGCTATCGCGCGTTAAACTATCCTGCGCATAACCCGACCTCGAAGCGTCACCGGCGATCTTGCTGTTCGTAGACCCTTCGGTTGCATGCCGATGTCGGCGCACAAGCCACATGAGTGCCGAACCCGGTCCGCTCCGAGTGGTCGCTTGCAAAGCCGCGGTCGCTGCAGGGCCAGCAGAGGCGGCGTCGGTGGAGTCGGCCCCTATTAACTTAAATTAATAAAAAATTATTTAAGAAGCACCATATCCCAAACGTGGCTCAGTGACCTTGTGACGATTTCCTTAAAAATTTGGCGTGCTGAAAAATTGAATTTATCGTTATTGATGAAAACGTTTGCTGAAGATCGTAGCAGAAAAAATTCGTTTCTATTGTACTTTCATTTTCATTTGTCGTAAATACAAAATCATTATTATTTTTGTTGTAATAACTAGCGACCCGCCCCGTGCTTCACATGGATATTATCTGGATCTGCAATAAGATAAATTTGTAGACATTTATGATCATCGGGTCGATGTGGTACGAAATTTCCCAGCTAAGTGATACACTTGCCCTTGAATTTTAAATGTGGGCATAAAACCACCATAAATGCTCACTCTTGAAAGAAGTCATTTGAAATGCGTTAATAAATGCGTTATTAAAATGACGTATAATGCGCACGAATAGTTTGGATTTTGGATGATCACCCGTAAAGAGGGAGTGAAAGAATGTCTTCTAATTTTACTTTTCCTTATAAGAAACACATATCTTTCGATTCGTCCTTGAATTTCAATACCAATCAATGTTTACACACTACTGATATGGTACCTATTGTATAGTATACAATGCCTTTGTAAGTAATCGAAGGATCGTAATTTATGGCAGAACTTCTGTATTTACCCATGAATTAGTTACTCTCTCGGATCTGTTGCTGTTCGGTTGTCCGTTTTGTTCTGTGTTACCATGTGTCTGTGCAGGCAATTATTTGGCTCTATAAACTCTATATCTATCCTAAAGTTGGCTGAAGGAGAGCCTCACGTTCTGTTGACGATTTTGCTTTTTTGGCATTCATTGTACTACGACCTATATTTGAACGACAACGTCTTCCAGACTAGCGTTTCTCAACCAGAGGGCCATGTAGGTCAAAAATAATAAAACGCTGATTTACAAAATATAAATTCCAATTAAATTTTTACCTAATATAGATAGAGTGGGGGTGGGTGGGTTCGCTAAGTGATTGACCATATTTTATACCTATTTTGGGGGTCGCGACACTAAAAAGGTTGAGAAACAATTTTCCAGACAAGACTTTATAATTTCTGTACAAAGTTAGTACTATTTACTCAGTTCAATAAATAATCTTGTTGTCATGGTGATACACGGCACAAATAGTACAATAATACAGTCTTCAGTCTTCTCTTTTTTTTCTTACAAAAAACTTTCCTCTTGAATCACTCTAGCAATTAAAAAAACTGCATCAAAATCCGTTGCGTAGTTTTAAAGATCTAAGCATACATAGAGACAGACGTGGGACGACTTTTTTTTGTATTATTTATAGATAATTCAATAAATTATTTAGTGACAGTAAATAATTTTTTTTTTATTGTATACAAATAAATACCCTAATGTTTAGAAAGTTGGATTACAAGTATAATAGAGCCTCCAAAAAAATTGTATCCGCTGGCCAAAATGATCATAGTTTCGCCACTAACTAGTAGGTGGTCGTTATAATTTTCGATAAGACCTAGACATATTTTTGAATTTCGATAGTTTTTAAACCGTGTATACATTGCTCTCGGCCGATTAATGATCGGTGAGCAAACGTCGATCATTAATCCCCGATGTGCATGTACATGCTTCAAGACAGTACGAGAAAAATGGAATGCGACTAACCTTTGACCGTTTGAAATCATCAAACGCGTTGGTTTTTCATACGTCTATATGGAAATATAACGCCACGGCAGTTATTATTGGTGAACACTAAAAACCGACTACTTTGTGAACAAACGGTAAGTAAAATAATTAACAGAAGTAAGAAAATATCCGATACAGCGAACGAACACGCGTAAATCCGAGATTTGTGTAACAGAAATGTGTTTACACAAAACATTATCCATTGCACTTCTGGCCGCGAACTAATAATATATAATTATCAAACTTGAGTAATGAACAGATAAACTCAACTCTATAATATAATATCCGATGACTAACCATCTCCGGGTAATGCGCGCAATCTGCGTTGTGTGAATAGTATCATGCTGTTGATTAAATAATTGGTTTAGTTATTTTACATACACACGCGCGTATATATATATTTAATATTATTCGATACACGTAGTACCAATCCAATGATATTTTTTTTTATCACACATTTAATTCAAACTCTGATGTGACAAACAGACCACAAAGCATACTATTAAATGACTTTATTCTAATCAACAGAAAACTTTTTGCGATAAGAAATTGGTGTTCTGTTTATATGTATTGTTTATCAGCGTCAAATGTTTTGAGATCGTGTGAATTAAAAAAAAAAAAAGTCGAGAAACCGTAACATTACACCAACGTTATTTACTGTAACCAATTACAGATATTTTCGAAGAACAGTTTTGAACATTTTTACAGGAATTATTACAGATTATTACAGGAAACTTAAGTGTTAAATCAAAATGGCGTCTGTCCGAATGAAATTGTATTCGACTCATATTATTGCACTTTTTATGCTGACGTTTTACGATAACTGAAATGGTGTTATGTTATTTTGTATTTACCTTTAATGAAAGTAAAGGTTGATAATCACTGTCAAAGTTTTGAATTTTAAATATTTTTGCCTTTTTCCTAAGTATTTGATTTCGAGATGACTGTTTACAAGGCCATGAAGAGCTTTTTTAGGCCTGGGGCTGATCAATTCCGAGTCCTTTTTACTTTTAATTATTTGCCTAAGGTTAGTATATACCATTGTAGTATAATATTAGCATTCAAGTTTAAAAATAGTTGAATAAAAAAATTATTATTTGGTTTGAATAAAATATTTTATAAACTGAAAAAAAAAATGAAATCATAAAATGAAAAACATAAAAATTCATATGGCTCATACTCGCTCATATAATTAAATTATTAAGTAGCCTACTATGTAAAATCAATTAGTATTGTTTTATTTGAGTATAACTAATTTTTTTTTAAATTTTTCATCGAAACGACCTTCAGAGTTCTTTTCACTTGAGAGAATAAAGTGGAGTATCACTTGTATCTCCTTCTCTAAAGAATTATCATGTGTGTGAACTTCACTACCAGTGATGTTTGTCCTGTGAGGAGTAGTGTAGAGAAACCAGAACGATAATAGGGAAGAGAGACTAATTTTTTGCACCTGGTTCGAAACTGTGCGCGTCGTAATTAACTGTGTGAACACTAATAATTTTACATTTTTTTCGTTTGGAAAGCCAGGATGACGGGCCCCGGAGATGTGGATGTCCTACCTGCCCCAATATTTCGCTGGCCCCGATCATTTAAAAGTGAAAACCTAAATATAAAATATATTGGATTTATCGAAAACTGGAGATAGGTACTTGAAGAATAATTTTGTAAACGTAACTTAATTTCAGAGTCATCATTATAGGCCTACAATATATTAGGGTTTAATTCATTTTTCTCTAATCCAGACGTGATTTAAATATTTTAAGATCTTCCCGTTATAATTACGTTTTTTTCCGCGTACTTAATTAATAAATATGCTACGGAAATGTATTTTACGACTCGTAAACATTGTTGTTACTAAAAAGTTTTAACGACACAAAAGGCCAAAAGGATTTAAAAGTTTGAATCAAATTCAATTGAAATTTGATGTTACGTAAAATTATTTTTTCGAAACAATAAAACGGCTTTTATTATTTTTAAGATCGTAAATGTATTTTTTATTTATTTTTTTTTAACTTGGAAACAAATGTTATGATCTATTACTTGATAACTATTACTTGCAATGAAAAATGTTTGCTCAACAAGAATAATAGACAAACATAGAAATTCTAGAAACATTTATTTAAATTAATTTGATGCTATTTGAGTTTATTTTAAATTGCATCATTGTAGCTGTGTTATCTATGTTTTAAAGTACACTCAAACGGTTCGATAAGTCAATTAAATAAATTTTAGTATTCAGTTCACATAATATTAAGATATTAATGACTTCATACGTTAATTATTGTCATGCCTACTAGTTTCATATAAAAAAAATGTGTTGAAAAATAGAAAAACTTGAAAATATAAATAAAATAAACTTGTTAATATAAAATTTAAATGTTTATCTGAAATATTGATGTCTGTCGATTTTATCGAAAAACTTTAAATGTTCTTTTTTTCTATTAGCCTTTTGTTGTACAATAATAGCTCAAAAATTATTCCAGTTATTAAAATTATACTGCTTTTAGTTTAAATAAAATTTAAAAATAAATTATTCATAATAATTATTTAAGTGTTATTTGAAAATGTTATAACAATCAATTCAGACTATTAATTATTGAATTGTAATTTTTTAAGCATATATTAAGTATTTTTATATCATATGAAATATGTGTTTCAAAATGCTTACACACCAAAAACATATTTTATCGTCTCGTTTTAATAAAAATATTTTAAAGTCGATTTTTGAGCTGTAATTATGTATGATAGAGTTGTGTTATACATTAAAAAAAAATATATAAACATAATTTGCTTTTTTGAGCTATTAATTACAATAAAACATCAACTCTTAAAATATTTAAAAATACACTGTCATCACAATTTTTATTGGATAAATATTTTGACAAAACATATACAATAGTTATATAAGAAGTATAGAAATTGGGATGTAAAAATATAATAATTAGGTGAAACATATTTTTTCTTATTTTCAATGCCACCTGGTTTTTACACAGTATAATTATAGTATTACAATAATAATAAAATATTAGTTTTATTTTAAAATTGGTAGCCCTGATGATTATTCTTGACAGCTGTACACTCGTCAATCCTCGGCAATTTACTATATATAATGCATTTGTTTGGTGAAATAAATAATTACGCTATTATAGATTTAACGAGTGTTTCCCAAGATTTATGCTAAATAGGTCCACAAATGTCTTTTGTATTGAATAGTCGATCATAAAAAAAAAAAAAACCAAGTAAGCTATAATATAATGGCATTACTAATAATTTAATTATAAGGAATTTAAGGAAATATACTTCAACGCAATAATGCCAAACTTAATTCTGATTAATAACATTTAAGATAATTCTCTTGTAATTACTTTAAAAAACAGCGACCCAACGTAGGGTCGTGATCCATAGGTTGGGAAACGCTGGAATGCACATTACCATTTCGTAACAATAAATCGAAGCTAGCCCCACAAACGTCAGAAACGTATAACCTAAACCAATTGACTATCATTTAAGCACTTAAGTTGTTTGGCAAGGATGATCACTATAAGGAACATGTAAAATACAAATAAATATATGTGCCGACCATTCATTGTCATCATCGTGCAGACATCGGACGAATATTAAAATTATACGGATGTCATTTTTCTAAAAATCTCAGGAGTTTTTAAATTTTTAAAGAACAGTTAAAATTATTATGTTTAATCCGTTAATCATTGTTGTTGTTTGTACAATTTTCATAAGAATTTGAACGACTAAGTTTTTGTGAAATTCGTAAGGACAAGTAGGGAAAATCATACGGATTAATAGTGACTGTGGTCGGATTTATAGCAAGCAGGTAGGCACTACGGGTGCTACATACATCATAATATATTATAATGCCCCTTATTATTTGTAACCATTAGTTATCTGTTTAGCTCCCCGTCATAAATATTTAACCCATTCAGGACATCGAGTGTTTAAACGTATTTTATTGTAGTGGTACTGATATATTGCCTGTCAATTTTATAGAACTCGTCGTTGCAATTTTAAACAATATATATTTATACAATCCTACATCACGTACTTTTTTGTCTATAAATATCAGTTGCGATTGGCGAATGACGGACAAATAATGTTCATAAGGTTTGATAATATTTTGCATTTAATAATGTAATGTAATAATAATTTGATTTTAAATGTGGCAACGGAAAACGAACAAAAAAATCTTGTTTTTTTTTCGTTTTCTATAGAAAACAGTTGCAAGTAGATGGTGTGAATGGAAATGTATCTTTGAAATGAATGCGATTTTATTTCAGTAGTATTATGTATTACTACACGTTTGTTAATTTATACTTTTGAAACAGTTAATCATGTTTTTCTATAGTTCACGCATCGTGGTTTTGCGAATTGTACACAGAATACCTGTTCTGACATTGGCCTTTTTAAGATTTATCGAACTAACCGCCCGTCACCATTCCTAAACAATTAATATTTTATTTAATATTTTGATGTGTGTCATGAGAAATAGAAACATTTACTGCAGCCGAGCGGCGCAGATATTGGACGAAAAAAAAATTATAATAATTACAGTTTCGTAAAAATGATATTGTTTTACCTATTTGAAAGAAATTAATGCACCATTTACGTT